TTTTCACTAACTGGTACCCTGTGGGGATGAAACCCTACAGCAGGCACACACCTGCAGCACAGCCCCTGACAGGCTGCTGCACTACACTGTGCTCACAAGTGCCTGTCACTGGCTGCCTCCTGCTTTCCACCACGGGGGAACCGACCAGCTTCACCTACCCAAGCATTAACACCACCAAGTAGGTTATCACAGAGTGCTTCTTAGTTAGAAATGCAGTTTATTTCAATGCACCAATAAAAAAAAAAAAAAACAACCAACCAACCCAACATTTCCAGATCACAGAACATTAACACAACAAAAGAGTTTTGTATTAGTCTAATAGTAAGACTTTTAAAATATATAGATTCATGCCAATTGCTAGTCAATAGAAACAGCCTTCTAGGACTAAGCCCTTACATTTATAAAGACATCACAAAATCCCTTAAATGTAAACAAAATAATTTTTTTCTTAAACTTTTTCAATTTTAATTAATTCTTTCAGAACTTGCATTTCTTCAAGGGCTTCCTGATGGTGAGTGACTGAAAGAGAAAGAAAAAGGTTAAGAACTCCTACAGCAAAACCAACAGAAAGTATGCATGCTACCCCAAGAAACCAAATGAAAACCCTGTTTTCATTTACAGTTCACAAATAATGAGAGAAATTTGTATTTTATACTTTTGTAAGTAAAAACTGCTTCCCCAGAAATCTCAATTCCAGCACAGTTAGACCAGCACTCGTTACATAGGAAAACTTACTTAATGGCACACAGCACAACAGGTATTTAATCCTACAACATATTCCTGGTTCACTCCACACCTTACATTACTCACTTCTAACCAAGGAACTGAGGGATACCTGATTCTCATTTGTCCACATTTTCTGTTGTCTTTTGACATTTCATTCAAGTATGTTCCCGCAGAGTTACTATCATGACATTCTGACTACAAGCAGTAGGAAGTGCCCACAACAATTCATCTTTACAATGTTCACAAATTAAGAGAAGTAAAAAACTAAGCTTTTATCCTTGCCCAACTTCTACAGGAACCACTCCAACTCCAGTGCTATTTACCTATATGGTCACTCTAGGTTTAAGCTATTCCTACCTTCTCTTTGGAGATGGTGATCTGGACTTTGAGCGACTGTTAAAAAACAAACAAAACAATCAGTGTGGTAAATTTGGATACTCTTAGTAACCACTTTTGATCTTATAACAGTTTGATGTTGTTAAATACATTGAAAGACACCACTGTTGACACTGCTGGAAGCAAGTGTACTCAATCACTTAAAGCGAGAAGCTGCAGGTGAGAAGGAAAACTGCTGAAAGCTGGAGCCCCTGGGGAAAGAGCAATACACAGCTTCAAAGCAGCTATAAAATCATCATGGTAACCCTGCAAAACAGGAGCAGTGAATCCAGCACTTAGGAAGAGGGAGAACTATAGACACTTAGAACAAAAGGTAGGAAAAAAGATAATGCCCCAAATGCTGTCAAAAACACTTTTGTCACAAGGATGGGTGAAACAAAAGCTGTATGCAAAATCCTTCTGAAATTTACTGTCACAAAAAAAACAAGTATTAAAAATGCATTTAAGAAGTTTGAAAAATATTAACAAAAAAAACACACAATAGGAAAACCCTCTCCACATGCAAACACGAGGGGGAAAAAACAAAACAAAAAACACCAACCAAAACAAAAACCAACCAAGTGGGACTTGTACTTAAGACGCTCACCTTTTAGCAGGTAAGCCAGATTTAGATCTACCATGAGACTCAGACCTACAACAGGAGAAAAATAAAAGCTCAGCAAAGCAGGCAGTGGCAACCATGTACAATGTTAGCTACACCAGCATCAGCAAATTCATACTACGTAGAATCACCACCCAGAGTGAAAGGCTCTGGTGCTCCAGGCTTTCCTTGGGACATTTCAGGAGAAGCCTTTAGCTCCTGTTGTGGAGACACCGCTTATGAGCAGACAGGAGTGCAAGCACATGAAGCTACCCAGCAAAGCTTCAGCTACCACCTTCACAAAACACAAGACCAGACTCCCGAGACTTCCTTCCTACATGCAACTATCCCTGCCATAAAGGGAAGGATAGTTTCAAGTGTCATCTTAGAATAATTTTAACACCACATTAAGAGCCTGGAATCAGTCACAAGTAAGCATCTGTGCTGAAGAGCTGATGCCTTCTTCAGGTCAAGTTCCCAATGCAAATTTTACTCAAGTATAACATAGACTTTTCATCAGTTATCGCAATGAAAACATCATTTCAGCTTTTCTCTTTGGTATCTGGCTACTGATGTGTAAACTATTCCCAGTTCATACTATGAATTAAAATCTACTCAAACAGGGAGACTCTCACAATCATGTTAATTTACCAATTTAAGTATATCCTGTTACTTAAAAATATATTTGTCTTCTTAGAGAGTCAGAATTTCAACATCAGAATGTCCAGTTCAATAGACTTGGCCAAAAAAGTAAGAAACTTTTATTCTATTTCCACTCAGAACTGTTTTTAAAGGATACTGACCTTTACCTGGCCTATTAGCTTAGAGAAATATTACATGGACACTGTTGGTGTAAGTTAAACAAAATGTGAAGTGCCACTGCTTTGAAACCTTCCCAGTCCCTATGCTGAGCCATTCCCTGTCCCAGTTCCTACCACTATAACCAGCAACATTTTACTGGATCACAGTTAGAGGTCGGGGTTGCTTACAACCACCCAGAACTTGTAGACTGTAGCATGAGCATGACTTCCCTTATTAACAGTAAAGCAGCACACAAGAGCATCATTTTACTGCAAGAACTGCTGTTAACACCTTCACGCAGCAGCGTGACAGAGCAGGACTGCAGATCAAAGCTCCATGAGCAGTGCTGGTACCATACTACTGTTCTGCTAAGCACCAGCTCTGGGCTGCCTGGAGCTTCCACAAAGCTTCTGTCACTCCAGTCCTAACTATCACATCTCACAACTCTAACTGCACATTACAGAAACTCAAGAGTTCCTCACAAGCTTCAGTACCAGTACAGAGTCCTTCATGCAGGAGGAACATGACTGTCCTAGAACTAGAAGTCACTAAGCAACATAAGCAGTATCCAGACCCTTCTGCAGCAGCAAAATACAATGTGAGCCTAGCCAGTCATCTGCATTACAGGCGTGTGTGAGCACTAAGTCAGGACAGCCCTAGTAATCATCATCATCATCCCCCTGCGAAGGTCACTGTGCCAGTCCTAAAGCAGCAGGCAGATCCCTAAAAAAAGCATTTCTCTTCCCCCTTTATAATACAAAACAAAGACAACTTTTTCCAACCTAACCAGCCCTCATGTCCATCACTGTTTTGTTCCTTTACCTTCTTCCAGCTAAAAGAATGGAGGAAGATAAAATGTTCCTCCACTTCCAGTCTGCATAAAAAACATCCGGATCCAGAAAACCAGGGCTGCGTGTCAGAAGCCCTTCCAAATACTACCCATGAAATCAGTGCTCGTGATTCTGGTTCACTCAGCAGTCCAAAACCCTACCCCATGTGGTACAGTTCTTCATACTACAGCAATTGAATTTGATCTCTCAGAACTGGAACTGACAAAGCTGAAGAGCTGTAAGCAAAGTTCAGTCAACAGTAGCAAACCTTCTCAGCTTTCTGCCCCTCCCCCAGCATTGGTACTTAGAAAAAACATGCAAAGAAAAACCTAAGCAACATTTCCTGCAGGACACAGGGTCAAGCATTCTCTACATACATAAGGATTAACTAATTTCCAAAGATTCCTTCCACAGACCCTAAATTGCACATATGCTTTCTATGGCATAGACATATCACAGCCACATACCAAAACAAACTCATATTTATTAGAAGAAACCAAATCACTACTTCAGTCTGTGAAAACACAAATTACTAGAAGGTGACTATGGAGAAAAAGAATATTAAGGGAAAAAAACCACAACCACCAAACACCACAAAACTATTACTGGTTAGAATTAAAGCAAGTATCTTACCTGCTTCGAGGCCATACGACAGACCGGGACCTTGAGCGCGATCTGGACCTAGACCTAGAAAAAAGCAGTGGAAGCTTTACTACTACACAGTTCTTACAACTGAAGCAGACATCACTTATTGTAGAAGTCACAGAATACAGACAGTTTTGTTAGACTGCTGGTTTTGCAGAAGTAATTTTTATTATTAGAAAGCTATACTGGCTTTGGCCAGTACAGCCATGTAAATAAATCCCACTGTTCTCATTGGCTAAGCATAATTACACTCTTATACTTGAAGCTGATTTAGGAAACCTTAACCATAAACCAAGGCTGTGACTTTGGTACAATATTTAAAAAAAAAAAAAAAAAAAAAGCTTAGGAACAGCAGTACCAAAATTATATGCTTAATTTTAATAAAAGCATTCAGACTAGCTCTTAAGGATATAACACTATGACGGTTCCTACAAACACACGGATTTCAAAACACAAACTTAGTGTTAACTTCAAGCTTTGCTCCCTTCAATCACGTTGGGTGCTCAACACAAAACAGGTACCTGGATCTCCTTAAGGAACCAGACCGGGACCGGCGGGGTGAAAACGATCTGTATCTGCGAGGAGAGATTGACCTGGATCTGCGGTAGGAAGCTGACCTCGACCTGCAGAACAGTGAAAAACAACCAAAATACTGCAAGGTCCTTTTCACAAGGACTACAGAAAGCAGAAGGCAGAGGGAGGAGTAAGAAAAAGAGAGCACAACAGCCATAACCCTACCTCCTACCACGACTCCGACTGCGTGAGCGAGAATATCTCCTTCCCCGGGACCTGGAACGGGATCTCGACCGGGACCTGGTTTTAGGTTAGAGAAAACAGGTATCAGCAAACAGCTGCTGCAACCAATGCAATGCACGCCCTGCTGAAGTCAAAACTTACTTCAGACAACTAAAAAGAGAGTAATAAAAAAACCAAAAACAAACAACCCAAACAAACCAAAAACAAAACAACACAAACACACCACTATCATCTGTCAGTTGGAAAAATCTCTGGG